CGCGAATAGGAAATTTACGTGGAAATCTAAAAACAACCTGGAAAAGTATGTCTACCAGAAATTCGTAAATTTGCATGAATATCACTACTTCAGCGTTGGGAACCTACTCCCCAGAAGTCGATAGTTTTGCGGGACTAAGTGGAGCAAAAGTCATCAGGCGATTGCTGGATTCGAACTTCCGTCAAATCGTTGTGATTCCTGCGCTACTAAGTATTTTTCTCAATGAAGTTCTCATATTTTCTCAGAAATCAAATAGGTACACTGATGCTTGAAGTATTGAAAAAACTGTATTACCTAGTGATATGTTTGATGTTTTGAATGGATTATAGCATATACAGATACCTCCACATGAAATACCACTTCAGAAAAAAAATAACTATGTACCCATATGATATACTCTTCAGAAACTTGAATTTCTATTCGTATGCATTGGATCTTGAACCAGAAAAAAAATTGTCTCTGGCATGGTGATTCGTTCATCCTCCTTTGCACTGTAAGCGTGCTGCTGGATCCGCGCCTGCGAAACCCCCACTTATCTCTTTTGGAAAGAAGAGTATCCTTATATCTAACATACATATTATGCTTTTCTAAGAGCAAATTATATTTGATAAGAGGTGGATATTTATGAAGAAAGCATTATATGGTACAAAATGGAAAATAATTATTTTCATTTTCACAAACATACTTTATGGTAATATTCAACATAAGATATCTCGAGAATTTGGATATACATTCGAAATAAGCATATGCTTGTTCTAATAATGAGAATATCATATGTTGAATAAAAAGTTAGTTAGGAGAAAGACAAACATTTTCTAGATTGACATATTTTATCCCAGAGGGTGGTAGAATTTCTATACCATAAAATATGTTCTACATATTTCTCTCCGTGTATGCATACGCTATTTTCTCATTCAGTATAACTGAATCTATCACCTGATTGAATGGCATACAAAATTATATAATCTTGATATATATAATCGATGATGTAAAGTGACCTTCGAATATGTCTATATTCGCCCACCCAAACTGTATGCAAATGTTATGGCATTGATTCATGGGTCGAAATGAAGGAATTAACCAAAGGGCATACCATCGTGAATAATCTAAGAGATTGTCGGTTAACGGTAACTTGCGGTCCATATGCCGCCCTTCGGGACCGACCGAGACGGTTAATTTGGCGAGATGCGACTATTCCAATGAATTTTAAAGCTTCTTCTATAATACAATTTTCAACATTACTTTCAACAGGAAGTTGATTGATTAGGGAGATGGGCGACCGGATACCGATCCAACTAAACACTTTTTTCCCGATAATCCAACTCAATCTTCATGTCTCTTGAAGGGCATACCTTCGTAGATGATCGACACCCCTAGTGTTATGGGCCAACGGTCTATATGACTTGAATCGCTAGTGAAGCATTGGGGTTACCTGACACGTATACATAAATCCTAGAAAGGTTGTTTTCTCCAAGCATTTTGAGGCATCAGCGTTGTGTTTCCTGAGGGCAAAGTGATAGAATGCTGTTCCCGAAGATTCTATCAGCAAAAGGAAATCAACAGAGAGTCCTCCTCCTCGGCTCCAAGATAAAAAGTTGACAGGTTTTTTATTATAAGTTTCGCCAATATCATCAATCAATCTTCAGATCATTTGTTTCATATAGAATGGCAACAAGTTTTTGAAATAATGATAGGTTCTTGGTATTACTGTTTACTGAAGTACTCTGAAAACAAAAACAAACTCAACATTCTGCTAGAGTCTTTTTTGAGCGTGACATAATAATATCATATATTGGAATAGGAACAACCTGTCCAATTCACAAGTAAAAATCCTGGTAGTTTTCATCCTCCAACAATAAAGAGTGGATGTGTCATCAAACCATTGTTTCCTACCGAATAATGAAGAAGTGATTATCATAGCTCAGATATAGTGCTGGATTGGAAAAATACCCCTGAGAAAAATATGAGGCTGATTAAAAGAATTCAAATATACAGGTTTGTTCATTATTACCACTTGAATACCTACTTGGTGTTGGATACTTGGGATCAGAAACAATTTTTCAGCAGGACAAAAATATAGAATCAAAAAAGAAGTCCATAGATATGAAGTAAAAGGAGATTCGATCAGAAAGAAGTTGAAACAATTCAGTCATCAATGAAGTTTTGAATCTTTGGTAGAAGTCCATGGTTTCTCAAAGTGAAGTACAGTAGTAGTATTATTTAGTAGTTGATGAAGTTTTTGTTTTGTAAATTGATGATTTATTGAAGACTCAAAAATCAGTGATTATTTCCCATTGTTTAGTGACCTATCAATTATTATTATGTAGTCCATTCAATTAGTATCAAAATAGATGAATCTTTATGAATCATGAAACTTTGTGTATTTTTGTCTGTAGAACACACTGTTATGTATGAACTGTCATCAGTGTCAATTATCCAAAAGAAATTCATATCAAGTTGGTATTTGACTATTTGAGTTGGTAGGTATCTACTCTTTTTTAGATGAAAAAAGTTGAAAACGAATGTAGGGATGATGTTTTATAGTTTTGATTCAATTTTCTTTATCCAGAAAAAAACTGTGATTGTATTTCTATTCCGATAACTTGGGTTGAAGCAAATTCAGATTTTAACAACTGCTGTGGGGCAACGATTGAAATGACGCCGTCTCTGAGGACGAGTCAGTGATGGTGCTCAGACGTGTCAAGGGGCTATCTCCGCCATATTTGATCTCCTATTAGGAACACGACTGGGAGGGATTTGTTATTCCCTTCTCTTCTGTGTTTTAGTTTTGTGTTATAATTCGTCTGGTGTACCCACTCTTCAATTGTTTCGTCAGACTAGATCTCGATATGAAAGATTGAATGCGAGGTAGGAACGTGGGGTTCTCATATTATATGATAGATGGCGTGAACGATGGACAATTCATTGAACCACCAATATAGATTTCACATCCATTGCCAATTTTCGCTAGCACAGCTGCCACGACAAAATTAGGTCTAATCTGCGATATTACGTTTATATCGAGGTGTATACAATCTAAATGAACAATTTTGGTGTACTTAACATCTTGACTAATCTCAAATTCTGATAACATCGCCCTAATATCTATCACAATCCAGTTTTTTAGCAAGTTTTTCTCAAGTATGAAAGGAAGATGCAGGATATATTATGCTTCATTGATGAATAACTTATTGTTCGATATTTCAGGATGATTATAGTGTCATCAACATTGATTTGAAATGAACATCAATACGACATTTATACCTATACAGGTAATGGAAAGCACGCTTCAAAACAAGCAGCATTCCATCGATGGCAGAACAATTCAAGCCCTGAGACTAGAGCATATGTCGAGGCTAGAGGCATATGCAATGAGACAATTCGATCATCGAAGGATAATCATAATGCCAAAATGAGATCAAGCAATCTATTGAAAAATATAGTGAAACCTTAGCCGTGGCACTTGATATCATCATCAAGGCATTCTATCGAGCCTGGCACCACGGACTCCTCGCCAAGCTTCCATCTTATGGCTTGCCTCCCCAGCTATGTTTTCTGCTAGCTAGTTTTCTCTCAAACAGGTCTCCCCATGTAGTGGTCGACGGAGTTTCATCTGACTCTCTTATCATAAATGCTGGTGTTCCGCAAGGATTAATTCTAGCACCAACACTATTTTTACTCCATATCAACGAATTGTTGAAAGCAAGTTCATGTCCAGTGCACAGCTTCGCGGATGATAGTACCCTCCAGACTGCCTTCTCTTCCAGGGCTTCAATACCAGCCAGGCAAATCAGAAACGAACGAGGGAGATATGTTGACAACATGAATATGGACTTGACAACAATTCTCAAATGGGGATCCAATAACTTGGTAGATTTCAATGCAAAAAAAAACAAGCATGCCTTTTCTCTAGAAAAGCCGATCTCACTGTGCCCAACATGAGCTTGTCAGGAGTAACCATACCTTTGAAGACATCCATTTCGATTCTTGGGATTACTGTCAACAATATCCTTTCTTGGAAAAATCACGTGAGATCAATTGCTGAAAGTGCATCCCAAAAACTTGGTTTTCTGTTTCGGGCCAGCAGCTATTTCACTTCCAGTCAGCTGCTTATGATCTATAAGGAACAGAACTGACCTGTCCTGGAATACTGTTTCCATATTTGTAGTGCAGCACCCAAACATACCCTGAAACTGTTGGATTCTGTCCAAAAAAGGGCAATTCGTCTCGTGGGTGATGCCTTGCTCACAAACTCACTCACTTCTCTGGAACACCGTAGAAAAGTTGTCAATCTGGCTCCATTTCATAGATATTTTCATGGACGATGCTCTTCTGAAATATCAACAATTGTTCCTCCCTTGGCAGTCTCCGCGAGATTAACCCGTCGAGTTGAGGCTTTGCACCCCTTCGTGGTCACTTTGAAGACTTGCAGAATATCTCTTTCCAAAGACTCGTTCATTCAACGAACCCCAAGGCTCTAGAACACATTGTCAAGGGAGGAGTTCCTCGAGGCATATAACCTCCAGAAATTTCGGAAGAACATCAATTCCAACCTCATTTCCCATAGTTCTCACGATGTTCTCTGAACATTACAGGATATCCCTTTTCGTGGGAACAAGAACATAGAAAAAAAAACTAGGCCAAGAACTTATCCCAGTGGTATTCCGTGATCTGCTGTTACAATGGGTACATAAGTACACCATAGATAAAATCTTACACTATCTCGCTAGCTGAATCTATAGTTTTTCCATTTGCGTTAGTAGTAAAGTATTGCGGGGAAGCTACTGCCAGGCAAGTAGGCAGACTGCCGATGACTCACATTGTTCAGTAGCTCTCTGGCTATACTATAATATTATTATTGTTCCAAATTATAATGTATGAATTCGAATTTATGTGATATTTACAAAACATGTTTACTATATCATGATATATGAATATTCTTTCAACTCATATAAATAAGTCCCAGACTGTGAAATGTTCAAACAATTCTGCAGTTCTTTCTATAGAATGGCTGAAACTGCGAATTCGAAGAGACTTAGTGATGATGGCAAACAATGTTTACAAATTCTTGCAACATTATCTGGTGAGTATGAAAGACTGATAGTGACTTCAGGATGAGTTGTCAATATTTGTGTGTGAATTTTCCATTGTAAGCTCCAAAAATCTTTTGCCGAATTCATTGAACGACAAACAAATTCGGAGGTGTCACTCTTGATCACAAATTGAGCTGGAAGAACCCTATCAACATGATATTATCATTGAATAATAAAATGAAAACTGTTTTGTAATGAGGCAACTGAAATACATATAATGTCTCTTGACATATTACTGTTGTTTAACTATATGGTCTGTTGCAGTCCTATATATTCAGTGCATATTATTTGTCAGGAATGTAGTTGTTTTCAGTGAAATATTCAAACAACTGTTTTCAAATAAGGTATTCTCAATATTTGACAAGAAAGATATAATTAAATATCCTGAGGCGATAGCCATGGAAATAGTTGTTCTCTGTTATTATCATAGCACCAACAATGATTTCCTTATTTCTCAAACAATGATTATTCGATTTGTCAGAATTCAAACGCATTGTATATTTTCAGCAGGCTCCTTAGCAATCACACCAGGAATAACGTTCTCATGGTCTGCACCTTTCCTGCCGAAAATTACGAAGGACAAAGAAAACTATGACATCACCGAAGAAGAAGTCGTACGATTCCAAGCAGTGTCGTTCATTAGTGTCGTCATTTTCTGTCCGATTTTCTCGAAACTGTGTGACGTAATTGGAAGGAAAAGAACCTTGCTTCTGATGAGCATCCCCGACTTACTAGCATGGATACTGATAGCGAATGCAGAAAGAGCACACGCCTTTTACCTTGCCAAAGTACTATCAGGCATATCTAATGGCATTATGTTGGCAGTTGTACCCACATACATTGGGGAAATAAGTGAACCTGAAGTGAGAGGAACTTGGGGCAATTCTGTGACTGTGTTCTTTTATGCAGGTCAACTATTTGTGACTGTTGTTGGTAGTTATTACAGTGTCCAAACATCATGTTACATCTTCATGCCCATTCCTGTTGTGTTCGGTTTCTTATTTACCTTCATGCCAGATAGTCCTGTTTTCTTTCTGATGAAAGGAAGACATGAGGAAGCTGGAAATTCGCTAAGGAGACTCAGAGGTAGGAATGACATCAGCACCGATTTGGAAGCCTTGAAAGCAGATGTGGATCGACAGATGTCTGAAAGAGGAACGTGGAGAGATCTGTTCCTGATAAAAAGTAACAGGAAAGCTCTGATTGCCTTGACGTTTTTGAGGTTTTCTCAGATTCTAAGTGGATCAGTTATGTTCGTCATCTATATCGGTTATATTTTCGAAAAGTCAGTTGGTACTTTCACTTCAGAGACATCATCAATTATATATATGGCCCTGCACCTTCTGCTGAGCTTATCTGCATCTTTTATTGTCAATCTTCTGGGGAGAAAAAAGTCTCTGGTTTATTCTCTAACACCGTGCAGTATCATTTTATTCATCGAGTCTGTTTATTTTTACATGGATGAACAAGTCACAAATGTGGATTTCAGTTATTGGAACTGGATACCTGTCATAGGCTTAGTGTTATTCGTTGTTATTTCTTCATTTGGAATAGACATCATGCCAACCCTCATGCAAGCAGAATTATTCTCAGCAGCTATCAAAGCGAAAGGTATAGGTTTACTCCTGGTACTCACTGCTATCATGGCTGTCATCATCAATTATTTATTTTACCTGCTGAGTTCCAGCTTTGGAATGTTTTTACCAATTCTGATATTTGCGTGTTGCAATGCAATATCTGCAATAATAGCTTCCTACATTATACCAGAAACTAGAGGTAGAACTCTTGAAGAAATTCAACAAGATATGAAGGGGCCAGTCAGACTGATGATAGATGATGGAAAAGTGTACGAAAAATGCAACCTAAACATTCTGTAACTTAAATTTTTTCAACATACTATAGCGTTCTAGTATATTATCTTTGTATTTTCATTCCCTCATACTCATTCCATTCGCTTTCCTATTCTTCTTCATGTTAATTTTTTTTCTTGCTCCTTCACGAACAACCCTTGATGTGATGGTGTCAGCTAGAATACTCTGTATTATTATGTATGCTACTGCCATTGTCAAGTTGATGAAATCCGATTGAAGCCCTATTATTCTCGAAAGGTTTTCCTGGCATCACTCGTTCTCATTATTGGGTACGCTCTAAGAATCTACCATACTACAAATCGAAAAATAACAATAAAAATATCTTGTCCCATTTGTGTGGAATTGAAACCAAGATTCGACAAGAATCAAGGTGTCCTCATAAAAGCAACAGCAAGTTTAGATAGACTCAAACTCGATCAAAGGAGGTCCTCGTTTGCATTTCCATGTCCTGCCATTACCTCAGTAACAGTGATGCAATGTTCATGAGAAATATTCTCGATATTTGGATTGCCATCATATGTACGCTCTGGATTGGAATCACATTGTGTGGCAACTAATCTTACTACTGCCTGTGAGAGGTTCAATGGAATCATTTGAAAAACTATTGAACTAGCATTGAGAACTCAGAAAATGAAAATTCATCAGTGGGAATCAGTTTTCCAGGATGCTATGTGGTCTATAATATCATTGTTATGCACTGCTACTAATGCTCAGTCATCCCCGTTCCAGGCAACTATATGACGAATGATCACGTCACTGTGACGTCCCTAATTGGTGATTTTCCGTCAGAGACATCACACACCAATCTATGACGTCACCATGACGTACTTCCTATGACGTGAGAATCATGTCTTCATCTCGACGTCGGGTGAACGTCATTCAGATGGGTAAAATAAGATGTCAGATGTGAGACCTAACAAATATGAACCATTAGTGGGAGAAGTTGAATTAATCGAAGTGAATCCCGCGATTATGCATATGTACGTTATCCCAATGGAAACGAAACAAAAGTTGCAATTCGTCACTCAGCACCTCGAGGAGATGTCACTACTTTTCCTATCCATTCAAAAACTGTTGATGAAGGAAGTTCTTCACAGATGAATATACAGATAAGAGACTTTATTCTTCGCTGGAAGAAGGAGAAGAAGCTTGAGAAAAACTGCTTGAATTATTTCGAGAATGTCGGCATAGGAAACACCCCAAACTGGAACGGTATAAGTTAACGCATTCACAATTATTGGATTATACAATGTATATATATTGCGTTTCTCAAATCGTCCATAGCTGTACAGTTATTAAAGTTTTTCATTATGAACAATTATTTGAGAGATTTCCATATCGAACAAATAAATACAAAGGTCCTTAACAACTACCAAGACTATAACATGTTCTATCAGCAATATGAAGACAACATTAAATTAAATTTATTTCAAATGAATATAAGGAGTGTCACTAAGAATTTGGATGAACTCAAGATTATGTTCTCGGATATAACAAATAACTTTGATTTTGTCGTCCTTACTGAAACTAGACAAATTTTGAATACTTCCATAATCAAACTTGATGGTTATCAGCTGTTCTACAATGAGGGTACATTCAATCAAAATGATGGCACAATTATCTTCGCAAAAGAGCATCTCAACTGTAAATGTAAAATTGTCAAATTTAGAGAAATAAATGTTGTAGAACTACAGACCACAATAAATAATAAAAGCATCATAATAAACGGTATCTATAGACCATGTCCGACATCCGAAAAAATGTTCATAGATGATTTATCTGATTACCTTGAAACATGCAAGAAAGTAGATTTGCATATAGTGACTGGGGATATGAATATCAACATTTTAAATAGCAATGATATATATGTTAACGATTATTTGAACACTATGGGCGAAAAAGGTTTTGACAGTGTAATCGACAAATATACTAGGGTTACGGGCGACGAAAAATCTTGTTTGGACCACATATTTGTGAAAACTAAAAAGGAATTATTTCAAAGTATTCCAGTGATCATCGAAACTGATATAACAGACCACTACTGCGTTATTAACCACCTTATCTCACATGAACAAAAAAAAACCATTACAACACAGGAAAAATTCAAATATGTACTCAATAAAGACAAATTCCGAGAATTAATCAAAAACGAAAATTGGTTAGGAGTATATGGAGTAAACGATGTAAATGTAAGCACTGAAAATTTCATTCATAAATTAAAACGTCACATCGAAACTTCAAATAATAAAATAAAAATAAAAAAACATGAGATGAAGAGGAAAGCGTGGATAACTACAGGATTGGTCAAATCAATTCGCGAAAAAAACAGGCTTTACAAAGTTATGAAAAACAATTATACAGAGCTGAACAAGAGTATATTCAGAAACTTCAGCAATCACTTGAACTACTTGATTAAAATGGCGAAGGTAGACTACTATAATAATAAAATAGAGAAAAATAAAACAGTAAGTAAGAATCTATGGGAATGTATGAATGAAATTTCGAATACTCAGAAACAAAAACAACCTATAACAGAAGTTAAAAATGTGGATGGAAGCATAACGAGAGAGCCTAAAATGATATCTAATAACTTTTGTAGACATTTTACTGAAATTGGCGAAGCAATGGCGAAAAAAATTGATTCTAATATAGAAAACAAACAGTTCAAAAAGAAAAAAAACGATCATTCAATGTTTCTGAGTGAAACTGACCCAGCAGAAATCTCTACAATAATAGTTGGTCTGAAAATAAACAAGACTCCAGGAATTGATGGAATCAGATCGGAAACCCTTAAAGAAGTGAAAAATGAGATAGCAGCTCCCCTGTCATATTTAATAAACAAGTCTATCAAGGATGGAACATTCCCAGATATCTTAAAAGTTGCTGAAATAAGACCTCAATACAAAAATGGCGAGAAGTTAGACGTAACGAATTACCGTCCTATATCATTGATATCAAGCATTGCCAAAGTATTCGAAAAACTTTTACAAAGTAGAATCACATCATTTCTCAAAACATTCAGAATTATATCGGAAAAACAATATGGATTTCAAGAAAATAGCTCTACTGCGGATGCGATAGCCAGATTGATAGAAATGATAAACAATGCAATTGACAAAAAAAAACCATCTGTTTGTGTTTTTATTGATCTGGCAAAAGCATTCGATACGGTTGACCATGAAAAGTTGATTTCAGTTCTTGAGAATGTTGGTATTCGAGGAATCGCTGGAAAATTGCTACAAAGTTACTTGAGGAATAGGAAACAGTGCGTTAACGTAAATGGTACATTGAGTGACTTCAGAACAATCAGATATGGGGTACCTCAAGGCACAATTCTGGGCCCAATTCTTTTTAACCTGTACATCAATGACCTATTTGAACAAGAAATTATTGGGGAGGTAGTGAGCTTCGCAGATGACACTGCCATCTTTTATAGAGGAACTGACTGGATAACATTAAAACATAACATTGAAAAAGATTTCCAACATGTAATAGAGTTCTTCAATGATAAACTTCTCACAATTAATTACAAAAAAACATTTTTTCTACCATTTACATCGTACTCTTCCAATCTACCAACATATAATGAACTGAATATACCATGTATTGGCGAAACAAATGGAATAAAGATAAAGTCTGTCGAAAACATTAAATACCTAGGCATATATATAGATTCTCACCTCAAATGGGAAAAGCAGATTAATTCTGTGATCAAAAAATTACGCTCTATGGTCTACAAATTCAAAAATCTTTCTGATTTTATCAAACCTAATTATCTTAAGATATTATACTACGCTTTGGTCGAAAGTCACCTTACCTATGGAATTATTGCATGGGGAGGTGCGTCAATCACTCTTATCAACAACTTACAAAAAATTCAAAAAAGTATTCTCAGAAACATGTATAAAAAACCAAGAACCTACCCATCTAACAATCTATATCAGGAAGCTTCCATATTGAATATATATCAACTTCATGCCAAGATAATCCTGCTCAAACAATTCAAGAATAAGTCGAATTTGATACATCCCAATCACCAGTATAGCACAAGAAACAAAACTAAAGCTTTGATACCGAAAACTGAGAAAACAATAGGACAAAAATGTCACACCTATCTTGGACCTAAACTTTTCAATGAATTGCCATCGGACTTGAAGAGTATCAACTCAGTGGTACTATTCAAGAAAAAAGTCAAAATTTGGATACATACTATTCCATTAGATACCCTTCAAAATTTTATATCAACAAGCCGAACATGTTATAGATTAACTTGAATTCAGCTGATTTTGAACTAGTGCGTAGTACTAATATAAAAAAATATCTTCTAATAATATAATGTATTACATGTTTATCTTTTTCATTTTATATATAAGTAGGTATGTGTATTTTTACAGATGTATATATATAGTGTTTATGTGTTTATATATGTATGTATATACACGGGTGTATGAGTGTATGTGTATCCATGTATAAGTATGTGTGTAATCTGTACTCAACTGTAACTAGATTAAGTATACCTAATTCCACGATATCTTTAACGTAGATACTCACCACGCGCGGATTTATTTCCTTGTGGTTGTCAGCGTTTATTTATCACTAATATTAAGTATGTATATTTTTCTATTTGTACCCTTCAGAAAGTGAAAATAAACATTATTATTATATTATTATTATTATTATATATAATACGGGCTCTAAAGGACATGATTTTAGAGTCAGCAGGAAGTGACATCACTGCGCCTATAGACTGCTTTTCTTTTTTCACAGCACTGTTTGCCATTTGACGAAAGGACGATGAACAGGAGAACTGCACAGCAAGGAATTCAAATGTATTCACAGTTTGAAGCTCCAAGTTCTTATAGTAGAATCATATTTCCGAAACCAACTCTAGAGAAGCAAAGTATTTGCGTCTTATTCACATTCACAATAAGTGTATTGTATATTCATACTGCAGTATGTTTCAAGCTCTGCAAGAACTAACTAAGAGAATGAGATCATCAGCGTAT